TGTGGGTGGGGGGTGGGGGGGGTGGGTTTCTCCTTGTGCTTAGGCAACGTTATAGTTTTTACAGATCATTTCTTTAGGAGGCATCTCCTGCTTTGAGAACGAGACGTTTTTTGATGCAGTCCTGTTTACTTATAAAATATTTGATGTATAAATGAAGTCGTCTTTTCTTGGATGCAGCAGGAATCAGTAAAGGACCCATCAATCTTCCCAGCCTCTCTCCAGGTATTACCTTTCCCAAGGCAATGCAACAAATGCCACTCTTGTTGCCTTTGGGTTTTCCTCCTTCAGGTTCTGAGAAGGGGTTCAACATGGAAAGCATGACTGAAAGTGTTACGAGATTACTGCTTGGCATCTGAGCAGCAGGCACTGGGTTGTATGATTTTAGCCTGATTTAGCTGTGAATTACAATGTGTTGGAGGCAATGGGCTGATATCTACCATTTCTTTCTGTGTGCAGAAGGAAAGACTAGACCAGCGTCTTCTGATCGTTCTCCATGGAGGCACCATTTGCTTTAACTGAATTGAACTTAAAAGCCAGATAATTTTCCATTACATGAATAATTAAACCATGAGATTCATTATCACAGGCCACACCTGAGGCCATGAATTCAGCAGCATTCAGAAAGAGATCAGGCATTTGTAAGAATAGCAAAAGTATACAAAGCTATCAATAAAGCATAGCTAAGAATTTGAAAGGAGTAGTAAATCTTGTAATTCCAAACTTGGTCAGATCTCTGTTAAACATCAGAAGTTGCCAGCCACCAGGGATAAGTTCTACTCATAAGTGTCTGCACCATATCACCCTTTATCAAGGCCAGAGTCTGCAAACTCCCTTGAAGCAATTGGTTTTCCTTCTTGCCAGTCATAACCCAGTAAATGGGCCAGTACATTGATGCAGATTTTGATAAGATTTTTTTTGCTAAAAATTAAAATTGTGTTTTCATGTCCATAAAATCACAGTGAAATCAAAGAAAATTGTTGCTGCTTTCTAGTTAATATGTTTTATACCACAAATATTCAGTGTTAATTCAAGAGCTGAAAAAAAATCATGTTCAAAAGGTGTATGTGCATCACAGATGTGAGTGTTGAAAGACAATACATGACTTAAAAGAACTGTTATTAGTAATAATATTTGCATTTTGATAACACTTCCCATCTTGGCCATTTAAATGCCACATGAGCATGAGTGAACTAAGCCTCCCAGAAGCCCTGCAAGGCAGGACAGCATTGCCTTCTACTGTACAAGAGGAGGAGGCAATGTCCAAGTGCTTGCAGCATTGCAAGCCCTCTCATTTGCAATGGACACAAAGAAGGGTGTTTCCTAAACTGCTGCATCATGCGTTTTAGTACGTGTGTCAGCAAAGTGGCTATGAATCTGTCTCACTAATGCTGCGTGTTTGCATCCAGCTGTTGATTATTAGAGAATTAAGTCAAACCAAAGAGCCACTAGATGGAAGTCTTACATCTCATCTCCTCAAGCCTAGAAAAGGGCTTTCACAGTTCATGCAAATCAGGGATAATTTTTCAGGAAACCTGGTTTCTACATAGAAACTACTGTGTAATTATTTATCCTTCAGGTTCACTGTCGGATTTAAAGTGTACACAGCTGATTTCCAGGAGGGCTGAAAGGCTAATGCCTGCTGGCTCCCACTACAACGCTCATTCCTGAAGCCTTCCAAACATTAGACTTTTTTTTTATACCATTTTTGCTTACACGGCATAGGTCAGGTTTGTGTGCAGTTTTGGAAAGCCTTGCACTTTCTCACTGAATATTTGGCATTAGCCACCAGTCTATGAAGAGGGGAGTCAGGTATTGTCTGAGTCCTCAGGAGTATGGCACCAGGGTTCTGGTAAAGATATCCACTGTGGGGCAGGTAAGAAGTCACCTCCAATGTCCCAATAAAACCACAAGATTACTACTGAAAAGCATTTTTAAAAAACAGCTTGTCTACGTATAGAGGCAGAAATCCAGGCAGTGGCAAATCACCAGCTACTCACTGCTCCTGCTTTCATTGCAGCCCAAAAGCCATTTTACACTGGATTCAGCCTCTAAACTTAGCCATTAACATACCTCTGAGTGGCACTGTGCAGCTCACAGGATTTAATGTTACTTTTGCTCATGGGATGTTCCCAATTCCTTCAAAGACATTCATTTTCATCAGACTTTAGGTCAGATATTGTAACTGTGGGGGCTCACTGCCAGAGGCAAATGGACTTGTTTTGACAGGGCAGGGCAAATCACGGGGCAGCATTTCTGCTCCCTGATTTGAGTCAGGAGAAAAAATAAAAGCTTCTCTGATGATACATACATGTACGAGTTGGCAGGAAGACAAAATGCAATAATTTCTGTAGCAAAAAAGAAAGAAAAAAAATAAGGGAAAAAAAGGAAAAGGAAAAGAAAAGAAAAGAAAAGAAAAGAAGAAAAGAAAAGAAAAGAAAAGAAAAGAAAAAAGAAAAGAAAAGAAAAGAAAAGATAAAGAAGATTCCAATGAGGCCAAGAGTAAATTTTCTAAATGTTAGGAGGAAAAAAAAAAATCAGAGCTTGGGTCGAAGAACTGCCTCTACCTCCATGCTGCTGCCTTGTAAAAACTAAATGTCTTTTCTCCATCTTTCAGGAGAAACTCAGGTCCTGCAAGCGGACCTGAGGACAGCACAGCAGCATGGCCCCAAAGTCCCGGCTCTGCCCAGCCACTCTGAAATGCCGCAGAAGGGACGACCCGAGGGCTGGGGAGTTAGGCCAGTGCTGGTAAAGCAGCGTTGGAAAGAAGCAGGGAGAAGGAAACAAGGGGTTGAATGATGAAGAAGAGCCAGTTCTGTGTGCAAGAGAGCACATAAAGGTCTCCTGTACTTGTGTGCTGCATGGCGGGGCTGGCTGGTATGCCCTGAGATACCATCTCTTTGCCCACGCCTGTGGCTTTTGTAACATCTCTGACTCCTGCGCGTTCGCTGCGCTCTCTAATTTTCTCATGCCTAAACTGGGGCTTTTTTGCCCAGTGGCAGTGTTCATGGGACTCGTCTCCTCTGCCTAGATGCTATTTTCATGAAACATGTTGGAACTGCATGTCCCTGAGATGGCCTGTCCCTCTATCATACCGGTTGGAATTGGCCAAGAAATCCCACAGTTATTAAAGAAAAATTGTCTGCCCGTGCAATGGCATGAGGTCTGTTTCCTTTGGAAGTCAAGCCAAGCTGGAGCTGGCAGGAACAGAGCTCCAGCCCCAGGCTTCCAGACACAGCCACCTTCTCTTTTTGTTCCTAACAGTAGGTGAGAATTAAGCAAAGCACTCATTTTAATTCTCATGCCTCCTCAAATTTAAAAAATGTAGAGTGCTTTTAACTTCGTGATCCATTATGGACCTCTCAGTGCGGGGAATAGGTTATTCCTCCAGATCTCTCCTTGTCAGATGCCTTCACATATTTCATATTTGTTTGTCCAAGAATTTGTAAGACATTTAGAGCAGTAAGCCATTTTTCATGAGGATGAATGTTAATTACCACGTAGAAATACTTCAGCCTTGCATGTCCACCTCCACCCCATCATCAAGCAGCAAGCCAAACAGCAGGTAGGACCATACTAAGGCAACAATCCCACTTGCAATACTTGAGATAACTTGTCTGGACGCAGCCTTGATGTCTCCACATTGCATGGCCTGTTTCACCTTGTGTGAGCAGAATGCTTCGGGGAATTTGCAATCTATCTCATTTTGTTGCAGACTTAATTATCTAAGAAAGATTTCTGCTTCAAGAACTCTCCTGGCCCACTTAAAAAGCTGCTCTTATTCATGTGGTGGTTTATTTTCAACTGCAAATCTCCATGCGTATCTCCTGAAAAAGACCAAAGAGATGTTCAGTTTAGCTCCTCCAGAGTGATGGCATGGACCATGGGATGGCTGGAGCCCCCAGATAGTTATTTGCAGAGATGATTGCTGTAATCCTGGTACCAAATTCAGCATGTCTTCGGTCACCTCCATAGCTCAGTGCACGTGCGACTCCATGGCAGGCAGTGGTCCTTTTTACCTTTTCATTATTTTGTATAACCCTCTTGAATCACAACGGGCTGCTATGTCACAACCCTTTCTGGTTTGCTTACCCCTCAAGTACCTCCTGGGTATTAAAGATACCCCCCAGAGCCATAGCAATGATACCACAATCTTATTTGCACAATCTTTCCAAGGAATTTCACATTCGGTGCAATAATCTTTGAAGACTGCCTGCTCCTCAGGTCTCATATGTATTGCAAGAGCTTACATGATCCCATCAGAGAAGAAAAACAACACTCTGGGAGCTGAGGATGGCTCACAGGCAGCATGAGCAACAAGTATTCCTTGGCTCACTGAAGAGGACAACCCTGAAGAGGACTGCTGATATGGGAAGTAGAATAGGAACTGCATAAGTGCTACTTAAACTGTATCTAGAAAATATGTGGGACTTAAATGATGAACATACCTTGTGCACAGTAATGAATTTTACCCCTTGCGACCAGCTGACAATCAGAATAAATATGTTTCCACAAGAAGATGAATGCTTAGGAGCAATGAACAGTTTGATGACAAAGTGCAGCCTATTTGCAGAGAATTTGTGAATTTGTATGTACAAAATTAATTGATTAAATTATCTGGAATGAGTCACTTGAACAGCCCTAGGCTAAAGAATTATTTTCAGAATCAAAGCTATACATCTGCTTAAGGTACATGTACAGTGCAAGGAGCTAATGTGCTGAAGCTCTTCATTGCTTGAGCTCTGTTGTCTCTTTCTTCTAGGTGAGCGAAGCAGTCCTTGAAAATGCTCGTCTTATGCTGCACACCGAGAACATTCAAGCCTGTGCTGAAGATTTTAAAGACAGGTAGTCTTGTGGTGGCACCTAGCTGGCCACTTCCTTTGAAACGTTGCCTTGGCAAGCGCTTACTCTATAGGGGAGTAATGCTTAGTGAATAGAATGGGTTCGTTCTTTTAAGTTGAATATTCAACCACCTGACTTGGGAGGGGTTTTATAACAGCAAAATAATTATGATGCTGACATTATTTTGGAAGATTTTGAAGATTTATAGTAACAAAAATGTGCACTAGCAAAATTACTTAAGCTATTCTTTGATATACAGACATTGATCTCTTACTAAGAGGTCAGTATTCATTCAAATTTGGGTTGACATTTTATAAAGGCAAACATTCATGTGATTATTAGTTTCAATTTGCAGTGCCACACAAGTGGTTTTGGAAGTAAAAATCATTCTACTGCAGCAGCTGAAAAGCAAAAACTGTACCACTACAAACGTCAGTGTGGAAACATTAGATAAGAAAACAGAAATGGGCTGCACTGATTTTCCTTGTCTTTACTGAGAGAAATGAGTAGTAAAAGAAGATCTTAAATACTGACAAACTACTTTTTTAACATCTTCCTATTTGCAAAGCCTAATATTCATTCCATGAAGCTCTTTAAATTTTACTCAGAAGGCCTGATGATCCTTCTAGCTTTTATTTGTAATGGACTTGTTCATTTACAAATAGCTTTTGCAATATCTGACACACAAACTGTATTTCAAAATAATTGATTTTTATTTCCTATGATTTTTATCATCCCTTAAACTTCTGTCTCTCCCTGGTATTATTTTATTTAATCATATCAAAACATGGGTTAATCATGTTCCTATGTTTGCCTTTTATTTCAGAAAGGTACAACTCTGAGCTACCCATTTTGTGGCTTTACATCCAGCAAGCTACACTCATATTTTAAGTAGTTATAAAAAATATGTTTTAAAAATGTCAGCTGACTTGGACAAGCAGTCTACATAACAAAAACAATGTCAAATCAATCCACAGCAGAGTAAAAGCTCCTAATTCTCACTGGGATCAGCTGCCTCTTTCCCAGGCTGTTGAACTCCCAGCAACGAAGGTGGCTCTCAAGGGGCAGAGTGCAGGTCTTGTTTATGAAGCTGGTTCCTGTCTAACCTGCCAACCCCCCTGTCTAACCTCCCTGGCCACCAGGTCCCCAGGTTGGATGGGTTTGACACAAAAGCCTCCCACCCAAGGAGATTTGCCACCCAACCCAGCCACATTTTCAATGGAAAGCCTAAAATGAAAAGGTACAAACAAGAGTGATGCAGCAAGCAGCGCTGTAGAATAGCAACTGCCTGTCACAATTTTCCCTACCATTGCAGCCACGGTTTAGAAACTAGCCATGTGCTTTAACAGCAATGCTAGTTGACAAGCCAACAGCTCAAATTTCCTATTTATTTTGATACTACTAGGATTTGGTCTTAAGGATGGGCTAGGACCCTGGAACATAGATCAGACTTCCATCAGCATGTTCATTAGTAAAAGTAATGCTTGATGTGCGCGTGTTTTCTTTAACCATAGCTCTGAAAAGTTTTTGTGTAGATGAATGAGCAATTATTCTCATTTTATAGCCAAGCAAACAGAGAAAAAGCCACCCATAGTCATGCTGTATATAAAAACCAGATCTAGCAAGAGACCACATGCCTCTCCGTGCTTATTCAGGAATTCTATCAGGCTGATAACCACCATAGCGCAGACTCCTAACTTGGCCTGTTTTATTACGCTTTGAGTTAATGACAGGGTATTTCAGGCAGGGTATTTCAGGCAGTTAAATTCAAGTATAGCAAGACAAGGTGAGAGCGAAGTATATGTTCTGTGTTTCTGTGCCTCTGTCTGGGACACATGAGCTAATTAGCACAAATGGTGTCATTTAAAAAAAAAGCAGAATTTTCTTGCTGAGCTGTGCTGTATTAAGGTTTGGGTTTTTTTTTCTCTGCAGGTACGAAAATGAGCAGCCATTCAGAAAGGCAGTGGAAGATGAAATTAATTCCCTGTATAAAGTGATTGATGATGCTCATTTAACTAAAATGGATCTGGAGAGTCAGAAAGAGAGCATGAAAGAAGAACTAACTTTGCTGTCAAAGAATCACGAAGACGTAAGTCTAGACTCAGGCCACTGCAAAGCCAATGTGTGCCTGTTTCATTTGGTTGGTATCATACATCTAGTGCAAAGCAAGCACTAAAAAGCTCCGCCTGCCATGTCTGGGTGGGGGGATTCTCCTGAAACCTGCTTCTATTTCTCTCTTCTCTGTTAACTTAAAGCACTAACCTCCGAGGCATGATCAAATTACTTACATTTAAGTTTTAACTCTTTCTCATCTGATAAATATGACATGGAAGAGATGTCATCATTTCTTGCTAGGCACCACGTGACGGTCACAGGGTTGCACAGCCACATATGTGGACATCTCAACAGTAAGGTCTGATTCTCAGCCAGAGATGTAAAGAGAAAATGCCTGTGCAGGGAACAAGCTCTGGTCCTGCTGCACCAACACGGAGCTTTAACTGGGCTCTTCTGAAAAACTCCTCCTTGGCTTAGCAAGCTGCTCAGTTCCCAAAACCGAGTCTCCCCTGAGCAACGCACCACTGAAGCAAGTCACAGGGACAGGCAGCTGGAAGGGAAGCCCATTATTACCCAGTTTCGCAATACTTTTCCACTTACTCATTACATTCACCTTCACTATTTGCATGAAGGTGGTTTATTCCCTTCAGCAGGGGTTTCAGGATCGGACCCAAATCAGCATCTTTACTGATGGGGGCTCAAATGTGGAGCTACTACTAATCCCATGTAAGGGACAGCAAGCAATTGTGCTGATGCCTCAAAAGTAAAAGAGAGCTTGAATTGAGATGGCTCACGGAAGCGAGGCACTATCCTACCTTACATTTCTTACAGGTTATTTCTCCAACCACAAGATTTCAGCAACATTGGCAGGCATATGGAAACTTGGGTTGCCAAGATGAGGTTGCTTCATCCCCTCCCTACTTTCATGGGTCTAATCCCAAGGCTGGCATTTTGCAGAAAATAATCAGTGGCTTCAGCACCACTGCATGGCATGAGAAAGATGGAAGTTGTTTTAGATAAGAAGGAAAACAGAAAATTGATAGAAATACACAAGATCCCCTTTAAACCTCCGTGGACTGCAATGATTGCTGTGAAACCAGAAAATTTGGACCGATGCTGTTCTCTGCCCGTATATATGGCATAGCAAGAATAACAGCTTTCTAACAGCTCCTCTCGCTCTGCATTTAGCCAGCGAGGAGCCCTTGCAGGGTGGAAGGATGCTCCTTTCTTTACCCATTGGGAGTATCTGAGCATTCACAGAACCACCCCAGCACAGACCTGGTTTTCCCATGGCAGCGGCACCAGGGGAAGCTGCTCAAGAGAAGTCACAGAATAAAGGCTGGAAGCAACTACTGCAATTACTCCAGCTGAGCTCTGGCACAATAAAGTCCCAAGGACTTTCCTGAACTAATTCAAACCTTTCTTTCCTCCAGTGCCCCCACTAGGAAATCCATGTCAAGTCCTTTTGAAGCTTTTGTGCACTTGGAGTGGGCACATTTTGAGGCTTTCATTCTTGCAGGTTCATAATTCACGTATACCTGCCCATCCTTTTTTTCCAGTACTGTCACTGTCAGGGGCCACTGCCTACAAACACAATTCCCAGATGCTTTTACACCACGTTTTTTTTGCTTATGTCAATAGCACATATAAACAGATTGATGTAAAAGGATTGTGGTGCCAGATAGTTCAGATACATGTGCAAATCTCATTTATTCTTGTGTTCCTGAACTCGGTGTACAACTGATGTGCTACCTTTAAGCATGCAATTCTAGACACACTAATTTTCTCCTGCTTACATGTTTTTGGAGCACTTATATGTAAAGAAAGAACAGAATGCTGTCCCAGAGGAGAGTGCTCTTCATCTAACGTGCACATGCATAAAAGCACACATGGCTCACACAAGCTGCAAGGCTGTAGAGCTCCTGTTGTTTTGCACAACTTGTTGTATCTCCCAGTAGATGCATGTCTATGTTATTGCATAGTGCAATGTAGTTGTGGTCCTGGGTGTGCAGCATCTGTGTATGTCAAGCTCTGACTGCTGGAGAAACTTGCCACTGTGAGAGGGCTGCTCCAGGCAGTGCCCTGGTGCAGGGCTTCAGTCTCCTTCCACCAAGGGGAACTCCAGCAAGACTCCCCATGCACAAGCAAGGCAAATCCACACCTGAAAAAGAAACCCTCCAGTGCACTAGATCATTCATGTAGAGACACCTTTCAGGACCAAATTTAATTACTCTCTCTGTGGAACCAAAAGAGCTCTTCCTTGAGCCCCGCCGAAGCTACTATTCAATTGTCCAGTTCACCTTCTTTTATGTCTGTTATTTTTGTTCAAGGATGTGAAGGTGTTATACAAGCAGCTTGCTGGATCTCAGCTGGAAGAACTTGATGTTCCCCTGGGAAGTGGCCTGGACGACATACTGGAAAAAATCAGAATCCACTGGGAGAGAGACATTGAAAAGAATCGTGCTGAGACAGGTGCCCTGCTCCGTACCAAGGTAAGCGCTCTGTAGCTCACTCCAACATTAAGGGATTTGAAGCAAACACAAAATCTGTCTAATACTCTACAGTAACTTTGAGGGCTGAGTGTTTGTTTTTTTCTTGAAACAAAAAAGATGGTAAAAATCTAAAGGATTTTGGTCCAAGTCCATTGGAAAATACACTCATAAATATCAGTGACTTTCTTGGGATGCAGAGAGGTAGGTAGAGGCGGAAGAGACCCTGCCGATATCACAGGTATTTGTGGGAGACTTCTAAGGGCTCTGAAATGTTGGCTGAGAAAAACAAACTTAATCAGTTGGATAAGCCACAGCCGTTACCCTTCTTACTAGGGCCATTCCTCCACTGAACAATTTACAGGGGTCTATAAATCGAAAGGGCAAAATACATTGCTCTACACTAATTATACAGCTACAGACTCCTTGTGGGTTTCTCCTTGAAATTGTTTCCTTTGGCAGTGGTGGGAAAATTGGATATTAACTTAGAAATGAAAAGTGATAATAGCCATTCCCTTTAAAAGTTCTCTCCTGATGCTGAGTCTGAAACAGCCTTTTAATGCAGCTTTTTCTCTGTCATAAAGGATCACTCATTTTCCAAAGTGGCTGGCTAAAATAAGTATTTTTGCAGAGCTGAAGCATTAAGTTCAGTGCACAATCCTGTATTTTAGAAGCCATCTCATTCTGAGCTGGCTATTACAGCAGATCATGGCACACCAAATCGTAACTACAGCTGTGCTATAGAAATATTTAGCAAAAACATACCCCCCCCGTTCCATGGTACAGAGATGCTATCAGAGGAGTAGAGGGTAGTGAAGCCAAACTGCAAGAAGAAAAGCAAGATATATGTTTGCAAAGATATATGCAAGCTCTGAGTAGGTGTTTATTTTCAAAATAAAGAAGAAAAATCCTGTGACAACAGTGATACCAAAGGTGCTAGGAAATGTACAAGAAGCCAACCAGAGAAGTTTATCCCAGAGATCCCATCAAGTTTATGAGCAAGCCAGACTGTTACTAAGCAAAGTTTTCATAAGGTTAGTCTGCGGGGGCCTGATTTTCAGCTTGTACAGCCCAAAGGAAGTCAGTGACACAGTAAAAAACTACATGAGCCCAGAGAGTGATCCATACAAAGCATATGCAGCCCTGAAAAGCCAGAGCATCCTCAGTAGCCTCCTAAGCTTTTCCCAGAAAATCTTTTCCTGGCCCACTGCTGGGTTTCAGCAAAATGAGCATTACTCTGATGGCACCAAATTCTTCAGTGTCCCCACTTTCCTGTCATGCTTGTTCCTGTTCCTCCTCCTCCTCCTGTACAAACACACCCTCACAACTTCTTTCTTCCCGTTTCTTTCATACCTTCAATATCTGGTCTTTCAACTGCAGAGAGGTATCATTTGAGGAGAAAACTGCCAGCTCATACTAGACTGATCATTGGATCCCACTATTGTGTCTTTGATTGTGGCCAACACCAGACGCTGCAGAGAAACACCTAACGCATCGCTACTAAGCCATCTTAGTTTAAGTTGTTCCTGTTTTGGTTTGATTTTTTAATGGGAGGAAGAATCAGAATATCACAGATTTCTGAAAAGATCACTTTCAGTTCAGAGCAGGTTCTGGTATGACATTCTAGGGTTTTTTGTCCCCAAATATACCTCTCATTAAACCCAGATGATGCAGTTTTGTATCTTACACGGTTTTGTTTCTCATATAGATCTATTCAGATTATTACTATTTATACAGACGACAAGAGTTCTGCTAATTATGTCCAGCCCTTTTTCCAACTAAACTTGTGGACTTATCTTATGTGGCTAAGTTGCACCATTTGGTTATCCACACCGTGAAAAATTTGTCCTTGTTCTTTTGTGACATCACAAGAGAGAGAGCAGTTTCCTCCTCTCCTTTGCTCTTCATTACTGTTTTCTTCAATCTCTCTTTGTGAGTTTTCCTTGGTCTCTAACACTTTAATTTCCTTTCTCTGCACCCACTCTTTGGCGTAGCTGTGACCAGTTGAGACCAAGGTATTTCAAATGGTGTCCTAGCACTGACTTAGGTGTCAGGGCAGTACTTTTGTTATTTTCTGACCAATTCCCTTGCCTCATTTGCTTTGTCTTCTGACTAGACTTGCAATCTTGGCTAGATTTTCCATGGGTATTTAGACACCAAAACATACAAATTTATATGCATGCCTAACAGGGTTTTACATGGGATTTTTTTAGATGACTAAGTAACCTCAAAACTCCAGTCCATTGGTTTGAGCTCTGCATTTTTTTGTCCATAACGCTCAAAACCTTTCCCTGAATTGACACAAGTGATTTAAACCCTTGTAAGGCATGCAAGCTGCTTAATATTTTCCCCCAAACATGCTTTACTTAATGATGTGGTGCTGTTCATTCATGTAGTTTGATTCCACACATCCACCCCTGCTCATTGCTGATCTATATTGCTTTCTGCCATTCATAAATCCTTCTAGTTCATGATTCATCCCCAAGGTAGTAAACCTTGAGGCATCAAGCTGTTAAACTTCTGTCATAATGGAACTAGACCTTAATCCTCCTCTTCATGTCCTGTCTCTTGACCAGCTGTTGATCCATGGCAATGCTCTGCCCTGAGCACGATTACACAACTTCCTCTGTCATCCCCTACACTAGATCTTGTAAAAGGTTTTGAAAAATCTTGTGAATTATGTCAATTGTTTCGCCCCCCCTCCCCTTTGCTACTTTGCTAACACATTCCCAGAACTCTTAAGAGCTTATCAAAGTCTCTTTCCTTCTGAAGATATCATGCTGATCAGACCCTGGATGTTGGTGTTCTATCCCAAATCATCCTTTAATTATCTTGACTCCATGAAAAACAAACTAATGAGAGATTCTGCACTCTTGCACAATGCCTGGCTCAGAACTGTATAGACATGCTTGAAATCCACACATCCCTAGGAAACTCAAGCACCAAAATGATAAAGATTTAGGGGGATGATTTCATCCTCTCCCTCCATTAATCCAGTTGTTTGTGGGCACCACAATTCGGTATAGCCCTTCCCTTGTGGAGCATCTCAGGAATAGGAAGAGCAGAGCCCCCAGAAAACACGAATTGCCTAGTGAAGAGGGCAAAAAGACTACGTCTGCGCTTCTCTACAGAAGGAACCCCAAAGCTGAGGCCAAGTGTCATGCCCAGCAGCACCCTCCACATGGACTCTTGGGGCAACTCAGTTGGTAATCCTGTAAGGAGGATGGGGAAACCTTGTATGTACCAAAAGCTTTAAAGCTTATTCAGTGTGTGCTGACTTCCTGTGTCATCCTCAGTATTTAGGGCCTGATGTGGCCACCTCCATCTACTCCATCTGCCTGTTCTATCATTCACATCACTAAGGTCAGGTAGCCATGACAGCTTAGGGTAACTCTGGAAGAAGTTTCAACCTTACCTGTGGTGAGGACAAGTTGGATTTATAGGTAGCATTTGGGCCACCAGCAGGGTAAATGTGAATAAGAGATGCCAGGCTTCAGGTAATGGGTGTAGGCTATAAATATAGATGCAAAGGCACCCTCACTGCCCTATGTACTTCTTTAACAAGAGGCATTTATAGTCCTTGTACCATAATAACGTGCAGACTACACTCTCAACACAACTTAGGAGACAAAAATTACTCCAGAGTGGCAGGTCCGTGATCACTAGGCTGAGGTCACCAGGACTAGTGAGGTGGGATTATGTCTCTCTGAAGCACAAGCTCCTGTAAAGTATTTCTGGAAAATACAGGCTCTGTGCAATTTGCTGGAAAGGACAGTTTTGGTGCTTGGATTGAAATTCAGCCCTCTGCAACACAGGTTCATAAATCCTAAGTTCTGTTTGAGACTTAACTGCTGCTTAAATGACCTTTTGCACCTGAGATTATTTCATTCACAATGATCAAGGTGTGGGGTTCACATGATGGTACCAAAAAAAATTATAAAAATTATTTCTGGTGCATGGTCCCAGATTTTTTTTAAATTTGATCTTACTTTTAAAATAAAAGAATGCATAATCAGAAAAGCAGGACAGGGTAAAGATGAATTTTCAGAGTGGAATGGAAGTATTTTGCATAGTTTAACTTTAGCATCAACCAGAAGAAATGTAGGTTTTGACGGAAGAATTGTATTTGCTAGAGAGCCCAGAGCTCTGGATTGAAAACCTTGATCTCAGCCCTCATTAAAAAGTATAGAAATTTTATTTTTACTAAGGTACCTTTTCCTTCACCTATTTTCAAGGAGCCTGAACTAGACACATATAAAAACCCACAAGCAACAAGAGCATGAAATTGCCTAAGAATATCCTAATTCAATTAACAGAAATTATTTTTCTGACCTGTGATATGACTTGCTGTCTGACTCATAGAATCCTATGTGAAAAAACAAGGTGTGAATACTTCTGAAATGCAACAGACTAACTGAAAACACCTAACTTTAAAAAAAAATATTATAGTATAGCTACAAAATGAAGAATTACAGCAACATTTTCTTTTTATAGGTAATTTTAAACGTACTAGTATGAATGCTGAACAGCTTTTGTTGACATAGATAAAATGTATACACTTATATGTATAAGCCATTTTACAGTAAATGCATAAAAAATATGATAATTTTGACACTAAGAAGTATCCAGAATTGTTCAACCAAGGGATTTAATATACAAGAATCAAACTTAAAGTCAGAATTGCCACAAACTGTGAAAATATTAACTGTCAGCTTGGTATGTAAGGAAACTAAAACATAATTTGAGTAGGCTGTGACGACAGTCGCAACCTTTTATCAGCAACAGGCTGAAACGATGGCTGCTGTGCGAACGCAGGAGGAAGAGCTGGTGGAGTGCCTCAGGACGGAGTTCCATGAAACCGCCTGCAAAATACAGAGCTTGCAAGCAGAAACCGAATCTTTGAGAACCTTGGTAAGTAACGTTGGGTTTTCAATGGGTACATTCCATGCGAATTCCACATGCCTTCTGAGGAAAACATTCCCGTCTTGGGATGCAGACTTACGAATAAATCCCGTTTTCCAGCAGATACTGTTTCCAGAGATGCCAGGCATTTCTGGGCTTTTCTTGATTGACGTGGTGCACTAAGTGTACCACATTTGACAACCAGGCCCCAAATTTCAATCTTCAGTGTCTTCATACCCAATAATAATTTCGCTGAGATTGCTGGGTGGGTAGTACTTGACAATGTGAAGAACATCTGCGCCTTGTAACCAACGTAGTTCAACCTTTGTAATGATAATACACATTTTTCAAAGTATCTAAAGAAAGGAATTCTCAAAATATTACATCTCCAGTTAAGCATATTCAATAGAGATATTGGCCAAACCTGAATAAAAAATCACTGTGAAGCATATGAAAACTGACTGGTTTCACGTCTGCTGTCCTGCCCTTACAGAAGAGGGGTCTGGAGAACTCTTTATACGACGCCAAGCACTGGCACGATATCGAACTGCAGAACCTAGGCTCTGTCATTTCCAAGCTGGAGGCAGAGATGGGAGAAATCAAAGTAGAAACCGAGCAGCAACAGCGGGATCGTGACAATCTGCTGATCAGCAAACAACAGCTGGAGAAAGACATTGCTGCATATCACTGCCTTCTGGATGGAGAACAAAGCAGGTACTTGTCCTTAAAAGCAAGTGTGCCACAAGGATGGAGAACATGTGCTCCCTGGGAAGGGGTTGTGAGGTTGCTGGAAGCAGGAGGACTAGGGTGGTTCTCGTGTTTCATAAGGCTGGGTGGTAGATGGTGAGGTTTGGAGAAGCCACCAAAGGGGAAGAACACCCCAAATCCAGTCGTGCAGAGATTCCTGATGTATTGGAGATGGGTGGTTTCCATCCCTGCTGCAGAAGGATGAGATTTAGGAATACGGCAGTAGGTCTATGAGTTTCACTTCCCTGAAGATTTGAGATGTGAGATTAAAAAGATACTACAGCATCTGGGCACTACAGTAATGGCTGCAAAGCAGCTGTGTTGTTGTTTCTTGCCTTGGGTACATTCTGCCTTCCCTCCTCCTTCCCCTATATAATCCAAATATTAAAGCTGTGATCCTGGGGAAGCCCCCTTTCTAAGCACACAAGTTCCCCCCAAAGTCCAAGGACAGAATCTGGCCCACTGACTGTACTTTTTGTGAAGAAACATAGTTCAGACTCTTAACATTTGTCCTCTGGGAATAACCTGTAAACGCCTTTACAGTGGTTGGGTTGCTTGGTTGGGCTTTTTTAAGATCCTTAAACACCATTAGTCATGGAACCTCTGAGAATCTGATCCACAGATTTTGACTTGCTCTTCTGCTCAGGTTAGGGAGGAATTTTTTTAGAATCAGATCCTGCTGAAGTTGATGAGATTTCACCAGCTGAACTGAGGATAGTACTTGGTTCAGCAATTTTCCTATTTGTAGTAGTGACCAATTTTTTTTTTTTTCACTTTCAGCTGATTATGAAACTCCCAGCCCACAGAAGACCATTGCAATTAAAGCAAAAGAAGATGTCACTGCCAATTATGTTCATGAAAGCTAAAAACCCATCAAAGCAGCCTGCTTTATTCAGTTTGATTCAACAATCGAAGTAGGTTGTAGCTTGAACAACTTTATTAGACCCTCCTCATGTAATTGCTTTGCTTACAGATTTCAATTTACTCATGTTGTTAAAATTATAATAAAAATAAAGAATATCAGGTTTTTCGTTTGACTTTTTTTTCCTTCCAGTATTTTCCATGATAGCTGAAGGGTGTTGGATTAAGAACATAGGCCCTCCACTTCCCAGCAAGTAAACTCTTTCTTTTTATAGTACAAGTTTATCAAGACTGAACTCCCCCTCCACTGTGCACACAGCATCCGTGTGGAAATGGCGAGCCCTCTGTTGTGTCACAAGACCATCAGCTTACTAGTGTGAAATCTAATTGAAATAATGCTGAAGCAGTTAAAGTGTGCTATTAACTCAATGCGATTAATTTTGCAATACGTAAGCCAGCATAAGCTGGATGGATGGATGGATGGATGGATGGATGGATGCAACCATCCCAGCAGTGCTTAATAAACATGTTTTAACTCTAGACTAAACTTCTGGAAAAGTTGAAGGTGCAGGAGAGCAACAGCAGTTCTGTCTGGGTTCCAGGTCTCATCCTTTTTCTGCATACTGAGAGTCCTAGCCAGGGTGTCAGTTTGTGCAAATGTGATACTTTTTGATATATTGATATATTTTGATACTTGTTTTTTATATGCTTGGCTCTTTCTTGATATCAACATCCCTTAAGGCAGGTTGGCCAAACTTCTTTTGAACAGGCACCCACATAGCACCAATGTGTGGGTGACCCTAGGTAATTCCTCTTATTTTGATGGTATCATGATGAAAAAGATTTGCCATCTTTCACTTCTGACTTTCTTTTATATTTTAAATATTGATATCCTGATTGTATTGCATTTGCAGTATGGTCATATAAAGTGCCAAGATGGATCCTGCATTTTCAGAGAAACATAATGAGCCTTGGCCCCTATCACACAAAATCTTAGCTAGATGGCTGGCTTTCCTTCACAAGTCCCTGCTCAGGAATGAAGCTAACCATACATGTGTTTGTTGGATTAGGACTTTACAATATCAACAGTTACACAGGGTGACAACATAGTTCATTAAGTGGACTCAAAAGACTACTGAGAAAAGGCATATATTAAAGAACATAATGGCATACAGCATATATGAGAGGTAGTCTGCAGATATTTTGATCTTTAACTGAAACATTAGCTAACAAAGCTACTTAGTTTTTAATGACTGATAAAATCAAATATACTCTAAATCCACTCTACTTGATCCACCAGTGAATAACAGGAATCAGCACAGAAGTGTTGTCATGCCTTTCCTTGCACATTCCCCCACACATGGAAAATTCTTCCCGATACAGTTACTTGACAAACAATTCCCCATGCAACCTCTGCAAAAAGGCTATTTGGCATGTACCACCTGCAAGATTTTGATCAAAAAATGGATTAAGAGATTACCCAACAACAACCAAAAAAGAAAGGCAGATGGTGGCAGATTCCCTTTTTTCCTCACAGAATGTAGGCTCCTCAGAGCAGTGATAATACCTTCTTACATATCGGTGCAGAACTTACCAAGCTGAGACTCCATCAAGGATAGTGATGATGAGAGAAAATATACAGAAACGGTGGTACAAGAGATGAGATGGCACAGACCCTCAGGTTGTTGTTAACTGGATGCTGTCTGGGAGTGGTCACTTTTTGACATTAGTGAAACATAGCCTCCCCCTCATTCTTGACACATAAGAGAGAGCAGTTTCTCTATGATTTGAGAAGGAAGAGGGAATTTACAAATAATTTGTGCATTTCTTCATAGCAGCCCCCGATAGGTTTTCAGGTTTTCCTTCTGTCTCATGTGTGCTGTAATTATAGACAGCAGCTTCTATAAACAATCAAATGAATCCTATAGCGTAAAAATATACAATCTGGCATCAGATCTCTTAGCTATTTTCTAGTGATGCTTCAGGTATGAAAAGACGCTGCTGGCTATCCCACTGTGAAACTGTTCTTTATAAATGTCACTGACAGAGATAAACCGGGTGAAATTATGACTCTACAATCATACTGTGATGTGAAAGGAAGGATTTTTTAAAGTTTCTTGTATGCCATTTCAAGTTCTTGTTCCAACAAAACCTGGATTGTAGGTTCAAATGATCCAGCATATGTCATAAAAATTAAATTAGATTCCTGCTGACATGTTTCTTCATTGGAATGGAAATAGTTGCTGCAAAATCATCAAGATATTCCAGTACGGGGAAGTGGCTGGAAAAGGAGGAAGCATCTAAGCATAAAAAATGAAGTTCCGGCAGCTTTTCTCTCTATCCCTAGCGAAGACCAAAAGCCACTGAAAAGATTATTTGTGAATAGTTCATCAGAAGTCAAACGTAGCACATCTGGCCCTTCTAAAACAAAGGGCTTTCATACTAAGTGCCAAAGCTTTGTGAAGAAATCTTTCTCTACTTTTACACAGACTGCTGCTAGCTACCTAGCTAGCTACACAGCCCCTCCAGCACGCCTCGCCAGCCTGAATGCTATCTAAGCATTAACAGTCTTCACCATGTGAGATGGGAAACTGAGAACATGAGAGACTAAAGGCTTTCACAACTATTTGTCAGTGCTAAGGTTCATAAACTGATTTATCTCTATATTTATCCTCTAGTCTAACAGTTGCTATATTAAATACACGTGAACATGTTTCCCACTGGTTTTCCTAAGAAAACCAAAACCAGAAAACAGATTTTATTATCTCCTACTGCAGTATCTATCACACCTATAATTCCCATGAAGGGATTTGTGGCATTTGCTGTTATGAAGACTCAGGATGCCGTCAGAGAGTACAGATAATACAATCTAACAGCCAGCTGCTGCGTAAAAGGACATTTCTACTCCCCCTCACTTGCTATGTGTTCCCATCACACTGTCTTGTGTTAGCACCAAGACCTGTCTGATGTCTCAGGAGGCAGTTCAGGAAGCAAAATCAGTGGAAAATTAGCCCTGCAATACGCAGGGAAACTTTCCTGCCACTCAGCTCCCTGAATCAGGCCACTGCAGGGTCAGACGTGTACCACTAGCAGCAAAGGGATGGGAGGGGGAGAGACACTAGTCAGGGCTGTAAAGCACAGCCGCCCCCCTTGGCGATAGCTAGTCACTAGGTCGGATTAGCTGTACCGTCAAACCATATGTGTACTTTATCCTCCTCCTCAGCCAGGCACAGCTTCTTCTCCGCCACAGCTTGAACACACGCTGCTGCATCCTCGGGGGAAGCAGAGGGTGCCAGCCCTATGCTAGCCCGTGCTTCATTTCAGATTTCACACTGAGTAGCAGCATACCACACCAGCTAGGAGCTGGTACTCTAGCCTGTCATCCTACTGTTTACATTTTAGCATAGGCATTATTATACTGATTCTACAGTTAAAAGATTATTTTTAAGGTGACTTCAAGCTGGCATTCAATACTTCAACAAAACACCATGCACTGCTGCCACCGCTGCCTGCTTTCAGATGGCAATTACTGGTGGAGAAATGGGCATGATAACACTCCTCCCTTCTGGCTGTAGAGGTCTGAAATTACAGCAAACTCTTAGCACCCCAAAGCTGATAGGAAGGCTAAGCTCCTAAAGAGAACCAGGGCCTGTGCTGTGGCAAGGACTCCACCAGAACCCTTCCGCAAGCTGCTCTGCACCTAAGGGCACCTCCTCCGATTTCCTTAAGCAGGCGTCTGCCTAAGAGTTACCGAATGAAGTGTTCTTCTGCTTGTGCTCTGCAGATGTCAAAGCAGTTTGCAGTGCTATCACCTTCATGTCACAGAATGGAGATAATTAGGTATGAAGAAGTAAGGGTAAGACAAAACACCGGGTAACTGGAAATGGAAGCCTGCTCCTAACTCTTGCATCACCCACAACTCACTTCGGCTGTCCTTTCTTCAGTTTCTCCACATGAATAGTGGCTGCTGCATCACTTCCCCTACATGCCGTAGTGCTTCATTCCTCAATCTTTATAAAATGCACCAAGATGCAGAGGGAACAGCATTGTGGCAAGACTCATCATAGCTACAGGACGGAGACGAGAGGTGAACAGGCACCGCTGTACGCCACAACAGGCACGCTGCAGCGTGCACTGCCAACGGGGGGGGGAGGAAAGAGACAAAGTCCTCAGACTCCTCCAGGTAAATCTGTACCTGAGCAGAGGCATTCAAAGCACTGTGTCTTGCCAAAGGTTGGTCACACAGGTCAGTGATACACAGCGCAGCAGAAAGCTGTCTGCTGAGCTCACGCTCCCGTCACGGCAATGTGGCATTCTGGATATATTCCTTGCATTACAAACATTACTTCTGCCAGCCCATGCCTGCGAGCATTCTTCAGCCAAATGTCCTCTGCATCAGTATTGAGGATCGTTGAATTTGAGAGAGGAAAAGAAAAAACAGAAATACTGACCACCTTTTTCTGCATCTAACATTTTACACAGCAACAATCTTAACCATAAAAGCTAACGCAAAGCATTTGCAGAGAACTACAAACGCTGTGCATCAGCACGTTTTCACAATTTTACATAAAAATAAAACCAGAGGTGGGAGGCAAATCCAAGCGTAACTGCATAACTAATGCTTTCTTTAAAGTGCCAACTGAGACATGTCTTTAAATCTGGATCTAAGCCTTCCGAGGCCTAAAACGTTGCTGCTATTTTCCATGGTTTCCACTGAGTCTGTTCCAGATTTAACAGCTGAAACGTTTCTTGGTACTCTGCTCCTGACAGGTATTAAGTTTCTAATCCAGAGTTGCTCATTCCAGCCTTACAGCACTGTGTCTGCAAGGGACAAGTGACGCAGACGCTAAAAGCAGCAAAAAGGCATCGGGTTCGCATTCTTCAGCTAGGGGTTATCTATAATAATGCAATGAAAATATTTTACCAGCTGCTGAAATTCAAAAAATGTGTAGCTTAGAATCAGACACAGCACTCTACTTAGTGGCCAGTATTAGCTTATCTACCACAAAAGCTGAGGGATACAAATTGTCTGCTTAGTTGCATGTTATTATCAGTGCTGAGCCTGCAAGTTACGGCATGGTGCAGTGCGGAGGTATGTCAGCTTCCTGGGCAGTAATGGAGTATAAATGCAAGGGAAGGCAGCGCCTCGACAAAAGGGACGTCAAACACTCTTCCATACCGAGCCGTCCTGCGTCACATCTTCCATGCGACCTTCTATCAACCGAAGGGGACAGCAGGAGTAGGAGGGGAGCCCAGGTGCACCAAGGAGACACAGAAAGTGAGACTTAGCTACTGAATTTGCTTTCTACTTCAGTAATTATTCTTATCACAAAATAGAAAGTGTCGTTGATCATGCGGCATTCTCGGTGTTACCAGATGAACTGTTATGCTTGCAAGTTTTAGTTCTCGGGGCCTGCTCTGTGCGGGATCAAATCCTGTAAGTGCATGGAATGTCAACGGTAGCAGAGAAATACAGTGAGAACGCAGCATGACAGACATTAAATGAGGATTTTAACCAATCTCCCAAATGCAGAACACTCGACTACAGTGATTCAGTTACTCACGGCTATGAAACGCTTCACAAAGACATGGAGTATTTAACCTCTTTCTGCAATATGACAATGGCGCCTCCCTTGTTTTTTCAAACAAGCTGAGAATTATGGATGGAAAACACTAAACAACAGTATTTTCATGGACACAAGTTAAAGACTGTCAAACACTCTCCAAGGTTCAGAAAAACTTTTCATTTATATGTTAATATATACACACATATGTAATGATTTCAAGAGAAAATATCACAAAGCATAAAATACTAAATAAATCAAGAATACAAACATGCTTACTTTTATATGATTGTAATACAAACCAATGCTTATTTGACAGGTAATTCTCGTCTGGGCTCACACTTTAGCAGTAGGAACACCTATCATCTTTTTGACGGCTGACCAACAAAAGAAGTCATCAGAAACAATGTTTCATGTAATTATTTATGACTCATGACAGTCTGAGACTGTTTTTCAAAATGTCTGGCCTCAAAACCTTTTGACAATGCATTTTGAAGCCGTGGTGAACTTTTTAAACACCCATGTTTTTTTCCAGAGCTAAAGGTCACTACAGTACCCAAAGCTAGTGGTGACAATCTGCAGACACCCATTGTGAGGTTTGTTTTCCAGCAGATATCCCTAGGCTTCACTACGAGTCAGGAAAGCAGCTAGGAAGTTCATGCCAACACATCCGGACATCCTAGACAGAGTGGTGTTTCAAGTCTTACTCACTTAACCACACCATTTCCAAGATGAAAGCTAAATTACTTCCTTGCATCCTTTACAATGACAGCGTAAGTGCACGTCCCTTTCCAGGGTGCGGGGAGGCCGAGCCTTAGTCATCTCAGCCCACGCTACGAGGGAACGCCACTTCACCTCAAGGGTGGGGGAGCAGGGCACAAACCCAGCCGCCGCTTGGCAGGCTGAGAGGCCCCCTGGGCCGGCAGGACTGGCTGAGGGCAGGGGCCGCTCCGGCAGCCCTCTCAGCCTCCTCGGAAGCGGCTC